AATTTGGACCGAGGATATTCAAGGAAGGATCTTGGTCTAAGCTACGTGAAGGTATGCTCTTTACTGTTTTAATTGGGTGATTTAATACCTTGCCTTTCCCAGGAAAAAAGTGTTTTAATTGGATGATGTAGACTTTCTGCTAGCATTAGCTTTACATTTCGCTTTTTATTTGCTTTGCCACGTATTAACCTCATTATTGCTTCTTTTAGGAAAAAAGGCTGAGAGTGAACAGGGGGTTGAAAAAGTTGCATGAGAGAGTAAAGAAACAACAAGAAAAAGTGGAAGAGAAGGTATACTCTTCTTTATATGACTTACAAACTCTAATGATGCATTTCATTTCTTTAATTTCAAATGCGAGTTTGTGTTTGGGAATATAGTTGGCAATTACCTGGAAAAAACTGGGGAAAGGATATTAAGATCCCTGCCTGTCCTCCAGCCGCTAGATCTTGAGTGTCTATTTTTCAAATGGCACTTTGAGCAATGAAAGGGTAGTATTGGAAACAGTATGAGCACGCGTAAGGTAAAGTTGAGTTGGAGGATACAATTAATAAGATGTGAATAATATGAAGTGTTACATGGGTCGGTTTGGCACATCCTAACGGTATGAGCACGCATAAGGTAAAGTTGAGTTGGAGGATACAATTAATAAGATGTGAATAATATGAAGTGTTACATGGGTCGGTTTGGCACATCCTAACGGTATGAGCACGCATAAGGTAAAGTTGAGTTGGAGGATACAATTAATAAGATGTGAATAATATGAAGTGTTACATGGGTCGGTTTGGCACATCCTAGACAAAGGCAGATCTAAGACTTCTAGAACATGGATGCACCATTAAAGAAAGGAGCACAAAGAAAGTATTAAGTGGGAATTGAACCCTATTCCTTTGGGTAAATAACTCAACATTTAATCAAGTCCACCATTCAACCTTATTGGAGCATGACTACCAGCAGATAATTTTAAATCAATTCTTGGAAATATGTACATAAAATGCCTAGTTTGGCGGAAAGACCATGGGTTCATGTGCACTGTATCATGGGGGTAAATTTGCCCCTGATCCTAGAATGGAATTCCAACATTATACCATCACTGAAAGTGAGGGAAAAGAAACATTGCTTTGTGTGTTAGGTGTTCAATTTTTTATCATCTCTGTACAACTCTCATTTCTCGTGTTATTAGATCCTTCATATTTTAAGCTGACAGCATTTCATTAGGTCAAGTTGTCACCCTAGGAGATGAAGCATTCACATTATGTCATGCATAGGTACTTGGATAAATAGAGTAGCGATCCGTATTTTCATAATAGCTATATTAGCATGGATCCATGCTTGTGCATGTGGTTGTATTTCCTTATGGATGGTATGTCCAACCACTTTTAGATGCAGCAGTATATTCCTTGGTGAAAATGGTTTGACTTTGTTGGGTCCGCATCGGTATGCTTTCCTTTGTTGTGAGAGTGCTGGAGTTTTAAAATTAGTGCTAGTAGTTCGCTCAACCTGTAATGAAGTGTTCATGAGCTTTTGGGTTTGCTTGCCTTATGATGTGGCTTGGTTGATAATACTCCCTCCGGTTCAAAATACTCATCCATTTGCACACCCCTTAAGAAAATAAAAATAGGTAATTTGACTAAACTATCCCTAATTAAAATTACCTATTTAATGATATCATAGAAAATTAGAGTAATTTAAAAGACTTTCAAGGAATATGTAAATAAGGGCAATTATGGAAAAATAAGGTTAATTCTTTCTTGATTTGGTAAGTGGACACTTATTTTGAACCAACAAACAAAGGTTAAGGGGACACTCTTTTTGAACCGGAGGGAATATATATTTATTTTGTAAATGAGCTTGCATCCGATTATGGTTAATGTTGTGCTGCTCTGTGTATTACTACCTTCTCCGTAAATTTTCCTCTTACTATTCTACTGATTAGTCATAATAGTTTATCACCTAGTAGAATTTGGGTGGAGGCAGTGGGAGTTGCGATTTTCTGATGAATGAGCTATGATAGCAGATGCTACTTCTCATCTGAGATGCTAGGTTTCCGTGTGAAAAAAAGCTCTCTGAATTGTTTGTAGAAAAACGTAAAAAAAAATTCTTCTCCGTGATTCTTTTTACATCTTCTGTAACATGTTATCATAAATGAAGCAATACATAGTCGTTCTGATAGCTCTTATGTATGTTAATGAAATGAACATAAGAAGATTGCCTGTCATCATACTCTTTCAGTCTAAGCTATTTATAGTCTTCTAGCACAAAACATGAAAGACTATTTATTGCAGATACAAACAGTAGCAAAGCATCGGAATATTTGGGTGGAAAATGCTGATAGATTGGTTGCTGGTTTCCTTGAGATGTTTGAAGAGGGTTGCCACAAGATGGTGAGATCACTCTCCTGCTTTTCCCATCCCCCCATCCTTCCCACGCTCCTCTTCTCTTGTCTCTATCTTGTACTCAATCCCCTATAGTTGCTAGGCAAAAGAAAAATTTAGCACTAAGCACACACAAGTGATTTCACATTGGCAACCCAAAGTGCTGAATGTCCCTGTATGAGTGGTTTAACTTCGCTCGTCTGATCATGTCTTGGGATTTCAACAGGGCACTGTCATAAGAGACCGGATTCAAGAACAGATAAGGACCAAGAGTATAAAAGGGCTTCTATATGACAAAGAAGACGACGATGATGATTATGACTACTATTATGGGAGCACTGACGATGATGAAGAATACTACGATGGTGAAGATGAAGACTAGGGTTCCTCGCTTTTTCGAGTTATGAACAGTAAGGTACTTTCGTGGCGAGCTTCACTGTGTAAAGTGTAGCTAATGAATCAAGTTGGTTGAAGATGTATTACGTGTAACAGTTGGGTGCGCCTGCGATGTGCATGTTTTCTTTGGTTAGGATGTAGTTGCAATTAGTTTTGTTGTAAAACCATGATCAAGCATAGTCTTGTACTGTAGCGCTGTCAAACAGAGTGATTTGTCTAATATGAGATCAATAATTATATGTTTTCGAAAATGCAACTTTCTTGTGGCAAGTGCATATTAAGGACTCAGTTTCTTGACTTCATATTCAGGAGCGACCACTCTATACAGCTTCTGCAGAGCAATTTTAAGTCTGCATGCGGAGTATATATGCGCTTCATTTTTATTGATCAGGATTAAAAATCTCTTCGCAAATTGACTCAACTTTCTTTGTCAATCAAAACGTTGCATGATTAAGAAACATTAGAAAAAGATTAGAAAGAACAGAACCACAAGGATTAGCATAAAAATTTAGATCTTTCGAGCTATAGGATAGACAGCTGTTTCATTACCATGTTTAGCTAGTAGACAAGTTGAACAATCATACTTATCTCTATGTACTGGATACCTAATTAATAATCCAGATAAGCTAGAGAAATGGTTAGATTCAGCAATTAGTTTTGGTCCATTTGGAATCCATTATATCATTCGGCACGCCTAATTTCTACTTACAGCTATCTCTTACTCTTGGATGTATGAAATTTACGGCCATTTCATTTATGGCATTCCACGTTAGAAAGGTACGTACATGGTGGAAAGTGGAAACCTCATAATGGCCAATTAGAAAGAATTTAAGACTCTTTTAATTGATCCGTACGTTCTAGTATATTTGTCCAACTTGCCTGATTGTTTACTCAGTTTTTAAAGAAAAAACAAACATCAAGAATTAACCTAGCCGTCCACTTATTCGCTTAAATTTAAAATAACTGATTGATGTATAATATATAAATAATCCAGGTATAATATGTATATAGTTGTGTATAATCAGTATGTAATTCTTATACAACAACAATAACAACCGAGTAAAATCCCATAAATGAGATTTGAGGAAGGTAGTGTGTACGTAGACCTTAGCCCTACCCGAGGAAGTAGAAAGACTATTTCTGATAGATTTCGGCTGAATAAGACGAAAAGAGATAATATATCAGTACCATCAACAGAAACCATAAAAATAGTAACAACATTATAAGAACCGGAAACTAGATAAAAAAACACTAACAATACCCAGTAAATAAGGCCTAACGCTATGCAAAACGCAGAATAGTGTGAACACAACATTAACCACTAGCAGTCTAAGACAAAACCCTATCAGACTAGCCTCACACCGGTATGAAGTAGAAAAATGCTCAACTACCTCCTAACCTACAACTCTAATACTCGACCTCCACACTTTCTTATTAAGGGCCATGTCCTCGAAAATCTGAAGCCACGCCATGTCCTACCTAATCACCACCCCAATACTTCTTAGGCCGCTCTCTACCTCTTTTCGTACCCGCTAAAACCAATCGCTCACACCTCCTTACTAAGGCATTTGGGCTTCTTCTCAGTACGTGCACGAACCATCTGAGCCTCGCTTCCCGCGTGTTCTCATCCACAGTAAAAGTAAATAATCAATATCCCTTTAAAAATTGAAAACTTCCCCATGATCTAATGTTGTCATCTTATTCAATGACTACAAATTGGACCAAAAACTTCACGTGTGATGATTGCAGATTGAAACTCCCCACCAAAATTTTCAGAGATTAAATTCAATTCTTTTTGAAAGTATAGTTAATCATAAACATTTCCTCCATAGTGCGAATTTGTATCTTAATATTTTTTTTAACTATTTTTTTTTAACTAACAACGGAAATTTTTTTAGGAGGTAAATTTTGGTTATTAATCTGGACAATGGGAAATTTGTTCGAACTTCAAATGCAACCAATTTGTATTTCCAGAAGAAGATAAAAAGGTTACAGCTAGAAAGCAAGAAAAAAAGTGTTTCCAATTAGTTCACATAATTTCAATTTTGATAGTATATATATCAGTGAGAAGAGACCCTATTATAAGATGTGCATGTTTAACTTCCGACTACATTTACCAGTATCTAAAAACGAAAAACTAAAGAAAAGAGAGAGAGAGAGAGTTTCCATTTGGTACTTGCATTTAGGGGCGGCAAACGGGCGGGTCGGATTGGACGGGTAAAAAACAAGTAATGCAAAAATGAATAAATTATTCGATCCGACCCATATTTAATGCAGATAAAAAATAGGTTAACTGGCGGATAATATGCATATCCATATTATCCATGACTTCTTGAGTATGATCACTTTTAGAAAAATTTCTAGTCTCCCAAACTTGAGAAACCCCAATTTGAGGCTTTTCAAATGTAAAAGCTAAACCCATTGATTATCCATTTTCTAAGTGGATAATATGGTTCTTATCCATATTTGACCCGTTTTAAAAAAATTCATTATCCAACCTATTTTTTTAATAGATAATATGAGTGAATAATTATTTTTTCAAAAAATCATTTTGCCACCAATACTTGCATTATATAGTCCAAGATATCATGTTATATATGTCAGTAGTGGCGGAGCTACTCTTATGGATGGCACTGGCGAAACTAGAAAATTCAATAAGGGTGTTAAAAATTTGAACATCCTTTGTTGGTGGGCTATGCATAGGTGTTCAAAATATATTTTCCAATTAATAACAAGTGATTAATATTTTACCCTATACACAATATAATTTTTTCGGCGAACGATATTCAGTTGACCACCACCCTTGGCCACACATAACTTCGCCCCAGATGGAAGGGACAATTGACACTCTTTTGCCAAAAAATTATATTGTGTAAATACGTTAATCTTTTAATTATACATATATATATTATATAATGAATCTCCTAATTTTTATATGTATATTTACTTTCTTAGAATTTAACACCCTTTGGGGAAGATTTTGGCTCCGCTACTGCATGTCAGTGTATCAACTTCTATTCTCACCTTTAACTAGACAATGTGTGTGTGAGTTGACAACATAAACAAAGCGACGACAAATAGGGAAAAAGGAAAAGGGGAAGAAAACGATATACCAAAAGGCGATTTAACTACTTTATGTGAAATAAAAAAGACAAACAAAGTGAGAATACACTAAGAATGGGCTTCACTTTTGGAGAAAAATAAAATTTCCAAGCCAAATTTTGAGTTGCTAGTTTTGTCTACATATTAGGTTTTGTAGATATCATTTCCCTCTTGGTATGAAGTTGTTTAATCGCGAATTGTTGTTTTACTCGTATTTCTAAGGTTGCTTGGCCAAAATGCAACAAACACTTGCAAAAGCTATGGCCTATGTTGATGGTGAGAAGTGGTCATCTTTATACTAGTATTTCTTGGTTCACTTTGGCTTCTTTGGATTAACTAATGAAATAGACACATAACATTAAATTTAATAAATTAAAAATTAAGTCGTCAAAGGAATTCAAGATTTCCTAAAAGAATATTCTAAGTTCGTTTACACTTAGTTGGAGATTGTCTAATAAAAAAGTTAATCATGTGGTAGTCTTTCTTTCTATAGCTAGTATAGTAATTTAGTACTTTGTTTTTTGTTGCGTCATTTGTAATAACTTTTCTTCTAACTAAAGTTACAATTTTCCTAGTATTTAATTGTTTCTACCTAACAATTCATATTGCTTTGCTCCAAATTCGGAAGAAGCTAAACTTTGATTCAAGACTTGAGTAGGAGTAATGATAGATTTGCTATCTTATATTCCAGCATTAAGAGATGCTAGCTAGCCCGATCCTCGATTGACGCAAAGGTGAAACTAAGATTTGAAGTTTATGCGTTCGGTGATATAGTTCGTTTAAGTTACCGAGTTCTAATTTAATTAATTTGTACATATTTAATAAAAAATTTAAGACAAATACAAAATTTGTACCAAAATTATTAGGTTTGGCTGAACCTGTAACTAGCATATTAGCTCCACCCCTTTTTGACCCTTCCTTTAACTCCTTTAACTCCGCTAGAATAAATTGGAATTAGTAATTTTTGTTACAATGACACATGAGTGTCTAGCACACAATCACAACAAACAACAACAACAATCCAGTATAATCCCACAAGTGGGGTTTGGGGAGGGTAATATGTACGCAGACCTTACCCTTACCCCGAAGGGTAGAGATGCTGTTTCCAGGAGATCCTCGGCTCAAAAAAGCAACAAGAGCCGATATATTAGTACCATAAAAATGCATAATAAAATAACATCAATATAAGAGATATAAAATACAGAATACGAAATACGAAATAGATGGCTGGTATAGTAAAACTAGCAGGTAAAGCCCTGCATCAATAGACGACCAATGACATTCTTAGTCTTACTAGTACACAATCACAAAAGTGAAAAATTTAAATTACACTTGAGACGAAAACAATTACAAACAACAACTCTCATCATATATATAAGACATTTCAATTAAGAGATTTGACAATATATTCTACAAAAACGGCAAACAATTACCAGAATTGAGATGAAACCTACAAGTAGGGCAAGAAGAATGCGAGAGCAGCCATTTATCAATACAAGCAACATGGAAAGAATGATTACATTGAGGAAGAACCCTAATTCTCTCTCCATCCATGAAATCCAACAAGCAAATAGCACAGCTTGAAACTGATGATGATGCAGAAGAAGCACTAGAATTTGCATTATTATAAGTAGATGTTGGCAAAGCAACCATATCTTTTTTCTTAAGCCCTGTGTTCATTCTCTTTGAAGCTACCCATTCAACTGGCTCAGAAATAGTCCTATGAGTGCATTGAAGCACACATTGTAACATAGAGTTTAGGCCAAGAGCACAAAGCAAAGCACATATTAGGGCTGCAATTATCACTGCTAAGTTGAAGTTTAGTGCATTTTCAGTGTTATGGGGTTGATCAAGAAAAGGGGTTTTAGGTTCAAGAATGGTTGG